ATCTTTCTTTTTTTCTTTATGCTTTTTCTAGGCTAAACACATAATCTAAAAGCCCATAATTAGTTACCTTAAGTTTTAAACGAAATTGCAAGTTAGAACTTAGAACTAATTCGTTGTTTTGTCTTGTGAACAGAAGATATACAAATGTTTGAAACATGCAGTAACGTTTTTGTTGCAAGGTTCAAATCGTTATGTAGTTGGAAAAAAGGGTCCAAATCAAAGAGAATGATGAACCAATAAAAATAAGTATTTTGCCGTCGCGAAAAAAGCAACATTTTTTTAATGATTAATAATTTTAATAACTATATTTCTGCAGGCCGGCTTTACATCACCAGCTCAAACGGGGATTATGGCAGGACTTAACCTCTCTTTGGCTGAGGTCAGTGCTGAGTTTGCTGATATAATTTTATTAATTTGCTAATCGTCCTCTTAGCAATATTTAGATGGATTGTCACAAAAAAGTATGAGATAGGGGGTTACGGTGTTAGATATGTATTAGTGACTTAATTAGTGTTGTGTTATAAAAAAATATATGCAAATATTGGATTTTGAAGGCTAATTTACTTTATATATAAATGTTTATTGCCGAGTGAAGGAGTAAAACCCAAATATAAATTGTCTATTAGTTAGTGTTTAGATTTTCTACTCAAAAGTATATGATTTTTTTGGTAAGGGCGTAAGAGTGTACGCTAGTGTCATTGTAATACACTTTTGCAGATTTTGGTAATTTTCTTATTTAAATATTAGTAGTATAACCACTTTAATTTGTATTAGAAGAAAAAGTACTGAAGTTATTGTTCGTACATGGATGTAGTTCTCATTCTTTGGAGCTGTCTTAACAATTGGTGGACTTTTGGGAGCCGCGATGTCGGGAAAACTTGCTGATATCTTTGGTCGAAGAGGCGTAAGCTCTTTTACTTTTAACAATTTTTAAAACTAATTTATCATCATCATGACTAAAAAATTACAATTCATTACGTAGTTTCTGTACATATATATTCCAAGAAAGATAGCGTTTTGATGAATGACTATACGCAGGCTTTGGGGGTTTCAAACTCGTTTTGCATGGCCGGCTGGCTTATGATCGCATTCTCTCAGGTTTCTAATTAAGTTCTAACAATCATTTTATTATTTATAAAAATAGTGTTTGTTTGTCACGTATGACATAAGCTTAATCGTTTGAATGTTTTCAAGCTTTACCATATAAAAAATTCTGGTTTAATTATATATTCCACGACTACTATTGTAGACAAAAAAAAAAAGATCTTTCAAAATCAAAAGTTTAGACGAATAGTTAATTAAGTGGGTTGCACAAAAAAAAAAGTTAATTAAGTGTTTGCTGTTTCTAAAGTTTGGTTTATTATATAAAAGGCGACTTGGTCCCTTGATATTGGAAGACTTTTTCTCGGGGTCGCAGCTGGCGTAGTCTCTTATGTGGTACGTAATTTTATAGGTCGCTTGGTAATTATGGTTTATTGACTTTTACTCCAAGCAACCAATTTAAGTTTTTTTTTTTGGTTAATTATTGACTCCAAATCTAATCTCAGGTACCAGTCTACATTGTTGAAATCGCGCCCAAAAAGGTCCGAGGCACGTTCTCTGCGATTAACTCGGTAATAAACCGCCAAAAAAAATTCAAACAGATTTAATTTTCTTAGCTAGAAATCATATACTAATTTTTTTTTTTTTTGGGTTGATAGCTCGTGATGTGTGGTAGCGTCGCCGTCACATACCTCCTTGGATCAATCATTTCATGGCAAAAATTAGCTCTCATAAGTAAATCTTGGACTCTGTCTATGAACTAATATATAATATATAAATAAATTTTTAACACCGTAAGTAATTTTTAGCTATAATTTAAATCAGGTTAATGAAAAAATAATTACTCTGTGTCGTTTGGAGTTTTGCAGGTACGGTTCCTTGTGTTTTTGAATTCGTCGGTTTATTCTTCATACCGGAGTCTCCTCGGTGGCTGGTAATATTAATTATTAGTCTTGTTAGTTGTAGACACATTAGTCTTGTTAGATTAATTAACATATACACATAAAACATATTAAAAACAGTTATTACAAGTATATTAATTAAACCATTTTTAACTGGTATAATCTTTTTATAGTCTAGAAACGGTCGGGTGAAAGAATCGGAAGTTGCACTCCAACGCCTACGAGGAAACAACACTGATATCACTAAAGAGGCCGCAGAAATCAAAGTAAAAACAAAACAAAAAAAACATTCAAGAAAGTGACACATGTAAATTTGACAAAACTTTGAAGGATATTTTGATTGTTCTTTTTTCAGAAATATATGGAATATCTTCAAGAATTCAAAGAAGATGGTTTTTTGGATCTCTTCAACCCACGATACTCTCGTGTCATTACTGTAATAAAATTTTAATTGAAATTTTAATGTGTTTTTATAAAAACGCGTTACTGAATACTCTGTAAATTGTGTAGGTGGGAATTGGATTGCTAGTACTACAGCAACTCGGAGGTCTCAGTGGCTATACATTTTACTTGAGCTCCATTTTCAAAAAATCGGGTATACTTAAAATTTAAACTATTTTCTAAATAAACTAATATAATGATCAAAAACGATATTAATATACAATTAATTGTTTCGTAGGGTTTCCTAACAACGTAGGAGTAATGATTTCGAGCGTGGTGCAGTCCGTGACAAGCGTTTTAGGAATAGTAATCATTGATAAATATGGAAGACGATCCCTTTTAACGGTTATATAACTTGTTTCAAATCTTTTTAATTAGTGAAACTGTATAATCTATACTAGTATATAGTGGATAATCAGAAGTTAACGTCGTTTTTCTTTCTTTCTGTGAATTACTTATTAATTGCAGGTTGCGACGGTCATGATGTGTTTGGGGTCATTAATTACAGGACTCTCGTTTTTGTTTCAGGTATTTTTTCCTGCAATAAAATAAGTATATTTTAGTTAAATAAAAAGTATGATTCTGTTTTTTTTTTCTTTTAGTTTTGTTTTTCTTGAAATGGTTTTTATTACTTTTTATTTTTTCAATATAACTGAAGCAATCAAAACTAATATGCAGAGCTATGGTTTACTTGAACATTACACACCAATTTCAACATTCATGGGAGTGTTGGTACGTACTATGTACTACATAATGATTTCACTCTGTCCTCTCCTTACATAAACATAATCATATATCTAACTAATTTAACTTAAGATAAATTTTACCTGACTCTTGTTGCAGATTTTTCTAACTTCGATTACAATCGGAATAGGAGGCATTCCATGGGTCATGATATCCGAGGTAATCATTTGTCTTCGATATATTCGTAACCAGATGAATAGTTCAACAATATATATGACGGATGTATAAAAAAAGAAATGTATGTTTTGACAAAAATATATTGTATATAGCAAAATTCAAAAGCATAAAAACCTAGATTTATGAATATGACTACGTAATTAGATGAATAATGAAACAATGTAATATACGAAAACAAAAAACAAAAAATAATTAAGTGTTCTGTATGCAGTATGCACATAGTATAGTAATTAAATCTGAGAATATTAGTTGGGTGCTAGCTAACATTTCATTTAATTTAAGATATAATCTAGATAAAAACTAATTAGTCGTTTCTAATTATTTTATTTTGTGGGATAATTAGATGACACCGATCAATATAAAAGGATCAGCAGGGACGCTATGCAATCTAACTAGCTGGTCCAGCAATTGGTTCGTCTCTTACACATTCAACTTCCTCTTCCAGTGGAGCTCTTCTGGTAATTCATTTCATTTTACAAGTCTCAAAGTAAATACATTTACTAGATTATTTTGATCAAATTTTAATCATTTGTTGATATTTAAATTATAGGTGTGTTTTTCATATATACAATTATATCGGGTGTGGGCATCCTATTTGTGATAAAGATGGTACCAGAGACTCGAGGTCGTTCGCTCGAAGAGATTCAAGCTGCCATTACTCGATAACTTTGTAAAATATCAATATTTCTTTTATTTTTACTTGGTGTCAAATTCATATAATTGTATACATGGCCTCCCTCACTTATCAATTAATTCAGAATTGTTTGTCCCAGTTTAAATATGCATAATTTTCACATCAATCACCAAATTAACGATTGGTTCTTTTTTTGAAGCTTGGTTGGTTCTTGTTTTGAGATACATGTACAAGATAAATTAAAAGTTTGAAGAAATATGTATTATTTGAGTTTAAATTTGGATGGTAACATATCAACATCACTAACACAAATAATTACTGCTTCTACCATGAGTAATAATTTGAATGAAACAAAAGTTTACCAAGTATAAACAATTAAGAGTACGAACATTAATGGACCCTAGGAGTTATTGCTATATATATCCAACCATGGTTAGTTAACTAGTTAAAGTCTTAAAGATATAGCTAGTCGAATTAATATTTGGTATTCTATGTCCTCAAAATATCTTTTACCGCAGTCTAATAATGTTATTCGTTTTGGTTACGGTCCGAGAAAATTATTTAAACAGATATAAAATCCTAAGAAAATCGTTTACGTCAGTGAAATAGTATTCGTGTTCAATGTTTTTTCATTCTCTCATATTTAGAGGTATTCTTTTCTTGTTTTGTTTTTTTTTTTAATTTTATTTATATTTGGGTTGTACGATATTAGTATCTCATTAAGTAAGTTGCATTTAGAGTCCAATGTAGACGGTACGTTTCAAATTCATCTATGAATCCACATAAAATTTATATCAAGTATTACTAGGAGCATGTAGGATGCTTACCATCTTCTTATTTCGGCAATCGGCATGCTTTTGGAAAAAGAGCTTTAATTACGTCTTGTCTTGCATCGTCCTAACGTCGTCGTTAATGTGTACACTTTACATCGAATCTTTTTATTTAGGGTTATAAATGATCATCGTCAATTGTTCTCTTCGCGTTTACGTTGACTAATAGTCAAATCGAATTAAAATTTCAAAGAAACATTGAAGAAGGTATAGACCTAGCTAGTCACTAAGTATAGCTCGATTATTTTTTAATTCATTCATTTATTTCTTCAAAACCCGATAATGACACAAAATCATGGACCGAATCACTTTAGATGAATAATATATTAATATTTTTCATAAGACTTTGGTAAGTTAAAAACCATTGCCATGCATTGCATTCCATGCCTTAACGTCAAGTTCTTATAGCTCTCATCAATGATGTCCACCACCGAAACCATCTCCAGCACCGGCTCCACCACCGAATCCACCACCGATACCACTTCCTCCTCCTCCTCCAAACCCACCACCACCACCAGCTCCACCTCCTCCTCCGAGTCCACCCCCAGCACCAGCTCCTCCTCCAAACCCTCCACCTACACCACCGCCTGAACCACCACCAGCACCACCGCCAAATCCTCCACCGGCACCACCACCCCCACCAAGACCACCACCTCCTCCAGCTCCTCCACCAAATCCTCCTCCAGCTCCACCACCAGCTCCTCCTCCTAAACCGCCACCGCCTCCAGCTCCTCCGCCAAGACCGCCTCCTCCACCAAGGCCGCCACCTCCACCAAGACCGCCTCCCCCACCAAGACCGCCTCCTCCACCAAGGCCACCACCTCCACCAAGACCGCCTCCTCCACCAAGACCACCGCCTCCACCAAGACCACCGCCTGGATGGTGGAAGAACGTCTTTTGGTCCTCGAGACCACTCTTTAGCTTCCTGTTAGCGACACTGGCAAATGAAGTGAAAGCAAAAGAGCCGACAAGTAAGGCAACAAGAAAGAGTGACTTGGAAGCCATGTCGATCGATCTTTGTGTTTTGTGTATGTGATGATGAGGAAACTCTATCAGCCAATAAGGTGTTTATATAGTAGACCATGTAGCATGAGCTGAAGAATCAAACAATTGAATTCAAAGAGAGAGTAAAGTTTTAGAGTGAGTAATTATCATTAAGTCATCTGCCCATCTAATTCATGTTGGCAAATTTAATGCAATCCCTAACTACCAGTGTTGACAAACATGTTACTCATCCACATGTAGTAGACCCCTTCTTTATTCTTTGTGATAGTACTACTTCATAGTACTCATTTTCTTGCCTTTCACATTTAAATTTGCTCTAGGTTTTGATGCATCTGAGTTTTATAGATTATTCTTATGTCCGGATCGAGTTATTTAATGTTTTTGTTATTATGTTTATTACATTTTTATAATGGTCGACACTACAAAAAATCATGTTTTCGTAAAATATGAAATAAATATGTTTCACTACATTTTTTCTTTCAATTTCTTGACTTGGATAGAGGACACGAGGTTTAGATTCGGCATCTGCCTGCACTGGCACATTGTATAAAGTCTAAACCAATCTCGTTGTTTAATGTTTACGCGAGTAAAATATTCATCATGGTGACTATTTGTGATTTTTATATGAAAGAGAATACATAATACTATGCAACAAGCCGATATGTTTTCAAAACTTGGTTCTCTTCTTGTTTTGAATGCTTTCATCTTAATTACGTTCTCATCCATAATTTGAACATCTAATTAATAATAATGTCAAAGTTCCGTGGACCCAATAGTTAATATATGAAAATAACTTAAAACCAACTTTAAGTCAAAATTTGATCTCAATACGATTTAATTAGATAGGTCTGAAAAAGTTTAATGATATCAAAAACAAAGAAAAGTCTGAAAAGTTATCGTTTAAATGTGGTTATACATGAAGACGTTACAATTACAACGACCTTGGGTCCTTGGATCTGTATACCATAGTTTCTCTTTAGAAAGAAAAATAATGGAGATTTTTATTGGTAATCTCATGTGTTTCACTAATAATCATGTTTTTTGACGCAAACCAATTAACCAGATATCTAGAAATATATTGAGTTTGTACTTTCTATAGAACTAAAAACATCATTAAAATTGAATTCAACATTCTTCAACTTTATAATTTATTTTAGTACAAAGAATTACTTGGTACAAAAAAAATGTCACAATTTCAAATAAGTTTTAGGTGTGATATATATATTATCAAATGGTTGTTTTAAATTATTGAATGAAAAATAAATCATTTAAAAATGATTGATTTTCGAAACATATATCAATATTGGTAATGTATGATATTTATTTTTTTTCCATTCTTCAAAATTTATATCAATCACATAATTTTAATTAAAATTTTCATTTTATATATATTTATGCATTATTATTATTTTCTATGACAGATTTATTTCATTCTACAAGTATTATGTTTCACAATTCTTTAATACGTTCTGTGAAACATAATACAAAGAATACGCTCTGTGAAAATTGTTGCTGATGGAATTACAAAGAAAACAAGGGCGTGAAAATGATTGCAAGTGTTAACGAGATGTTCCATATTGGTTACAAATGATTGTACAATATCAAATTATTAGTTTTCATGATATAGTGTTTGAGATCCGAAGTATATTCGACGAAAAGAAAATAAATAAATTATTAGAAGTTCCAATTAATGTCAAACAAAAACAAAATAAATAATAGAAATTCCGATTTCTGCAATCGGACGGTGAGAAAACACGGAAATTTAATTCGACGGTAAGAAACGTTTGTTCGATAATTAGTTTTTTTTTTTTTTCTCTTAAACGCGGATATGTAATTGATGTCAAAAAAAAAAATCCCATCGAATTAATTCGAGACTTTGGATTCTCTCTTTCGCGCCCTTCTCACTTTCATCTTCCCCAACGTCTCTGCTCTTTCCCTTCTCTCTATCTCTCTCTCGTTCTAATCTGCGGCAATGGAGGAAATGGAAGACGCAGAAACCGAACCACAGGTATCTTCGATTACATATTCTCTCAAAATTCGCGTTCCCTTCTGATTTTTCCGTTCGTCGTCACCTGAGAGAGCGGATGTTATGCCGATTGTGATCGATGTGTGAAATTTTGATATCTAGCTTCGGTAATTTAGGGATTCTCCAATCAAAACCTCGGATCTATTTTTGAATCGATGTGTATCGATCTCAATAGTACAGACATTGATAAACCCTAGCTTTTTCCCTTTTCAACCTCAAATTAGATTAATCGGAAGTAGTTGTTGCGCCGATTTGATAGCAGAACCACTAATTTCTGAGGCCCTAAGAACCAATCCTACTTTTACTCTTTTGCTGCGTATGTGATATTGTGAATGTACCAATTTGTTTTCAATGCAATGCAGGTTTATATGGCTTGTATTCAGCATGGTCGGAGGTTAGTAATCGACTTCAACTTCTTGTTTTGATTGCATCTGTGCAAATTTTTTTAAGAGACTTAAACAATTTCTCAATTACAAGAGCATATGAGTGAATGCTTATGTATTTCAATGGATTTTCCTGTTTGCTGGTGGTTTTATCACACGGACAAGCTAATATCCTTCTCTTTATGTATTTTTAGAAAGGATGAGTATCTAACTTTAACATTCTTTTCCCAGAGTTGGAGTTTCTTACTACGACTGTAGTGTACGCCAGCTTCATGTGCTAGAAGTTTGGGAGGAAGATTGCTCAGATTTTACCTTGATTAATATGGGTATAACTTTTCAAATTGAAACAGAATGGAATCTTTGCATGTAGAGTCCTGCCATACCTTAGTTTCTGTACCCCACTTTTAATGAAGTTTGGTAAAGCGGGTTCTTGATTTACAACTACTTTGTAGCACTTTTGTTTTGCTACACTGTCTCTACCATGCTACTTTTTGATCGCTTCATTTGTCTTGGTTACATATCTTCAGTAAAATATCAAGCGAAGCCATCGATCATTTACACAAGCACTAAAAGTGAAGAATCCTTTGTAGCTGCTCTGCAGCAAAATGGTATGGTGCTGTCTATTTTGTTGAAATATGAGCCCTTAAGTTTATGGTCTTGCATAATTTCATTGTTTCTGCAGACGGAACTGACGAGACTACCATGGTGAAGCTGGTCAAGAGCTCAACATTCAGCTACGAGCAAGCGTGGCACAGGTACAGATAGTGTAATCAGCTCCATTTTCACCTTATTTGTGTGTTTCTGGTTAGTCATATTACATGATGAATTCCCCATGAAAAATTGGTCTAGTAGGAAACTGGTTCCTGCAGTTTCAGTTTCAGTTTCTTGACTCAATTGTAATAGCTTACTTGACTTATGATATTTTTATTATACCTGTTGTTTTACACTGATTGTTATCTCAATATTGTGTAGACTGGTATATCTTCGAGTAACAGGAATGGATGATGGGTTGAACATCAAAGAAAGGATTTGTTATGTAAGTTTCAGCGAAGGAAATGTTAATCCCTTTTTACTAAGGATTTTGATCATTTGGTTACTGTACTCTGCAGTTGGAATCTCAATCATAATGTAGAATTAAGTGATATTTTCGATGTCACAATGAAATAATTTGACATTGTAGCTAACTAATTTTGTGGTCCTTAAACACATTTTCAGTATTTGGTAAAATAATCAATCTACAATTGTATGAAGTTTCTTCATTTTTCTTGTAAATTTCAGCTGAGTTCCATGATGGATGTGGGCAGTGAAGTCCAAGTTCGTGTCAGTGGGGGCCTTCTTGCTATATTAGAAAGTGAACGAATTGTAGAAACCCTGGAACAAAACGAATCTGGGAGTGCGTCAATTGCAATTGATTCAGTCATGGAAGTACCATTGTATCCTCCACTTTATCTGTTCTGTTTCTTATGTCTTGATGATAATACTTTCCTGAATTTTTGGGATGATAATGCTGCCTGCAAATCCTTAACAAAATTTATAACAGGAACAAGTTTCTTAAACTTGATGCGGCTGCTCACGAGGCTCTGCAGATATTTCAAACAGATAAACATCCAAGCCATATGGGCATTGGCCGGGCCAAAGAAGGGTAAATGACTAAATGCCTTAAGTTCATCTGTGGAATCTTATATCTATTTTTCCTGCTTTGACTTGTTGATAATCTTCACTAAATATTTGAAATGAAGGTTCTCGGTGTTTGGAATGATGAATAAGGTTTGCTTTCCTTGCATTGGTTCATTCTGGTTGATCCTTCTTGTATTGATGATTTAACTTACCTGGCCTATTTCAGTGTGCCACACCAATGGGTAGACGCCTTTTAAGGTAATAAATGTGAATAATAATGTATACAAACTGTTCTGAAGCTGATGTATTCTTACGACATTGGTTTCCTTCTCTCTATTTCAGAAGCTGGTTTATGAGACCAATTTTAGATCTTGAAGTGTTAGATCGCCGTCTCAATGCTGTATCCTATTTCTTTCCTGATCTCTTGTGAAGGAGTTTGCCTTATGTCAAGCAGAATAGGAGTTAACAATCAACATGAAAGAAGAGAAACCAATAAATTAAACTTTATGTCTGCTTTCTGTAGCCTTATCAGCATAATTTTAACCGATCTTTATTTGTTCTGAATGAAAAAAAAATAGTGCGACCATTAATTGACAGGGGTGCCTTTCACTGATGTTCTGAGAGGTTTCTTTTGACTGTATTAGATTTCCTTTTTCATTTCTTCAGTAGAGCTGATGGCATCATTGCGGGAGACACTGAAATCAGTGAAGGACATTTCGCATCTGCTCAAGGTATGTAGGTACCATTATTTTATATATAATATAGTATTAGCATGCCTATCTCTTTTAGCCATAAGAGCCTGTGGAGGAAAATTAGAATTATGAATTAATGGCACAGAGAAAAATTTCCATAAAGTTTGCGGTGAATATGTTAATTGTTAATCTGTTGGTAGAAATAGTGTTATATGAGCATATCCTGCCCAGACAGAGAGCGTGGATATATTGCATGCCAAATATCTTCTTGTATGCCAATTCTGTAGATTCCATATTTTTTTTTATAACACTTTTGTTTTCTTTTCTGGATATGGCATTCTTATGTGAAAACAAGAAATTCAACTCTCCGACGTCCCTCTGTACCAGTAACGACTGGACAGCTTTTTTGAAGGTAAATTCCATTTTATTGACTATCATCTTTCATTTGGTCTATAAAACTAGTCTCCCAATATAATGCTATCTTATTGTGTGCATTAGAGTATAAGTGCGCTCCTGCACGTGAATAAGATATTTGAAGTTGGAGTTTCAGAAAGTCTCAGAGAACATATGAGACGCTTCAACTTGGACATTATTGAGAAGGTTACTAATGTTTTATCAATTGTTGTTATTCTCCCACTCTTCAACCCACTTTCGTGGTTGTTGCTAAGTTCTCTTTTCATGTTGCAGGCCGGCTTATGTATCAGCACAGAGCTAGATTATGTCTATGAACTGGTCAGTTGATTTTACATTCTGTTTCTTCAATTCCGTTATAATCCATACTTTCCTCTACAAAAGAACAGATCTTGATGCTTTCAAAATTGAGGTCTTAACATCTCTCTATTCCTTTTCCTCCTTAGAAATTTAAAATCTTAATGGAGTGATTATATTGTTAAAAACGGGGAATGAGGCCATCCATTGCAACATTTTTTGAGTGGCTAAAGGAAACTCAGCTAAGATTTATTCTGAATAAGTCACAATTTTAAGGCTATTCAGAAGTTGGATACCCCAACATTTGAGAAACTGGGTTAAACAAATTCAGCAGGCCTTAGTGAGAGATTATTATGACTACAGTTAGTAACAACAGACTTTAACTCCACAGGTCATTGGAGTCATTGATGTTACTAGAAGCAAAGAGAGGGGATATCAAACATTGGTGAAAGAAGGATTCTGTGCTGAGGTTATCTTAGAAGTTCATTTTGATCAGGTTGTCATACCACTAATCTTTTGTTTTTTTGCAAGTAACTCATTTCTTATTTTACCAGTTGGATGAGCTGAGGCAAATATACGAGGAGTTGCCAGAGTTTCTGCAGGAGGTTTGTTCTATGTGATAAGTTCCTTTAATTGATAAATGAGGGTAAACTGGCATCTCTCTTGAATGATTCTAATTACTGACAGGTTTCAGCGATGGAGTTAGAACACTTTCCTCATTTGCATAAGGAAAAGCTTCCTCCTTGTATCGTCTATATTCAACAAATTGGTGGGTCTGATTTTTCACGTTTTAGTTTTCACATAAGTTCTATACAGTGTGATATACTCAAAGGTTTAGCTAGGCTGAATTTTTAACATAATTACCTCTTAGAATTTCACCTCATCGCTAAGAAAGGTTAGCTGCACGAACTCATTTTTTGGATCCACCATGTCCTGGAATTATCAGCTCAACTATGGTGTCTATGCTTCTTGATTGCTCAATAGCCTTTCACTTTATGATGTGTCTTTAACAAATCACGACCACGTGTATTTCTTCACACTTTGATAACAGTTATTTCGTTTTTGTAAATGAACATATAGTTTATCTGTTCTGCAGGGTACCTCATGTGTATCTTTGGAGAAAAGCTTGATGAAACTACACTTAATAGGCTTACTGAATTTGAATTTGCGGTACAGTTTGTTTGTGTTAAAAATCTTAACCACATACTTTGGGCACTATTCATATATGTCATTATGAAACAGAAGTTTTAATCTACATATCTCTCTTGTGATTAGTTTTCCGATATGGATGGAGAGACTCAGCGATTCTTTTACCATACGCCGAAGACACGAGAGTTAGACAACCTTCTTGGAGATATCTATCACAAAATTTTAGGTATGTTCTTGGTGGTTTATATTTTCCATGGTGTATTCTTCTTGAATACAATGATGTAGTTTCTTGTTTTACAAAATTTTGCTGACAGATATGGAAAGGGCAATTATTAGGGACTTGCTATCACACACGCTTTTGTTCTCGGCTCACCTGCTGAAGGCAGTTAACTTTGTTGCAGAACTTGATTGGTAATCAATATTCAAATGCTACGAAGCCAAGCAATACTTTTTCACGTTCTTAATAACTACTTGTGAGAAATGACTAATGACTTATTCGTTCTTCTTGGCTTTTCTAGCATTTTATCGTTGGCTTGTGTAGCCCATCAGAACAACTACGTAAGGCCTGTCCTGACAATAGAATCATTGCTTGATATTCGAAATGGAAGGTGAAATTGACTCTATCAGCTGCACTTATGTCTTGTTATTGCATTTATACATAAACTCCTTACGAAAAATTATATCTGAATATCAATACTGGTGGGCAGGCATGTTTTGCAGGAAATGGCTGTGGATACTTTTATCCCAAACGACACTGAAATCAATGATAATGGTGAGCTGATTGTTGATTAAATTGTTTTGACTATATAGGCGTGCATTACAACTTAAACTTGTGAACTAGTCTTTGTTCATCACCTTATTGCAAGCTTGTTTGTCGCAGGCCGAATTCATATAATTACCGGGCCTAATTACTCAGGAAAGAGCATATATGTAAAGCAGGTCGGCTTTACTATTCTAAGTCTTATTTCTCTTCGTCCAACCAAATTGTACTTCACCATCAGGAATTGACAACTCAAGTTCTGACTTGCTATTTGTAGGTGGCTTTAATTGTTTTCCTATCCCATATTGGAAGCTTTGTACCAGCAGATGCAGCAACTGTTGGTTTAACTGACAGGTCTAACGTCTTGCATTCTTTTTGATCTTTTTACAATCGCTTTTTGTGTATATTTTCTTTACTAAGATTAGTCGTACTACAACAGGATCTTTTGTGCAATGGGAAGCAAGTTCATGACCGCGGAGCAATCTACATTCATGATAGATCTGCATCAAGTAGGAATGATGCTCAGGTATTCCAAACTGCTTCTATTTTTAACTTGATTTCAATTAGGTCCACTACTGATAGGCCTTGTGAGCCAGTCTCAATCGCTTCAGTCAGTTAGTGACTTCTAGTTCACGAGATCCATTATTTAAGTTCATGGTGACCCAAGAATGAAGATATCAATCAAAATTCAACTGTGCATTGTTCATGACTTATGATCGTGTACCTAATCATTGTGACTGATTTAAATTCTCCAGACAGGCAACTTCAAGATCTCTGTGTCTCTTAGACGAGTTTGGTAAAGGCACTCTTACAGAAGGTACGGATATCTCCGCCCTCTGCATTGCATAAATGGCATGTGTTTGCAAAAACTTCTGCCTTAACCACACTCTTATTTAAAGTACAGATGGTATTGGCTTGCTTGGTGGGACAATTAGTCACTTTGTTACATGTACTGAGCCACCAAGGGTATAGCATTCTCTTTTCTGGCTATAAACTTGTATGTTCTTTTAGAACCCTTACAGGCATTGACTATTGATGCATGCTTTCAGGTTCTAGTGTGTACGCACTTGACTGAACTACTTAACGAGAGCTGCTTGCCTGTTGTATGTACTCCCATCCAATCCCAGATAACTCAGCAGATTTGAAGTAGTTCCTCGCTTCATAGCGAGAGTCTTATCTTTTTTCCTTTTCACTTCAGTCTGAGAAGATTAAATTCTATACAATGAGCGTTCTTAGGCCAGACACAGAATCTGCAAAAATGGAAGAAATTGTTTTTCTTTATCGGTATGGAGTCTCAGCGACTAGCATTCTACCGAAACTGCCTACATTCTTAAGACTTCCATGTTTTAACCAATGGTTTTGTGTGCAGGTTAATTCCGGGACAAACTTTACTGAGCTATGGTGAGCATCTTTGTGTTTGCGTTAATTATTGTCTATATGAGTTTCTTGTACATACACCGAACTTCATCAAACCTATCTATGTAATGCAGGTCTTCATTGTGCACTACTCGCTGGTACATTTAGGAAAATTGATTACAATTTTAATGAATCTATTTACTACTGCGGATTATAGAGTAACAAAAGGAATTCTCACTATTCTTGATGCAAGGTGTCCCGGAGGAAGTCGTGAAGAGAGCAGCCATCGTGTTGGACGCCTTTGAGAGTAACAACAACGTCGATAAACTAAGCCTTGACAAAATATCGTCTCAAGATCAAGCATTCAAGGTCTCTCTGCTCTCTCACTTACACTAACTTTTACCCCTTCATCTTCTGTCCTCATGGCCTTACCAAACTTTTACTGATACCGAATGAAATTCACAGGATGCTGTTGACAAGTTTATGGAGTTTGACATCGGTAAAGGTGACATCCGTGGCTTCTTTCAAGATATCTTCACTTCCTAAACCCTTACTTAAAAGTCAAGATCACCGAATAGAAAATGTAACCAACAACAGTAGATTTTTTAAAACGGAAACCAGTTTTGTATTAAAACAGAAGTATATACAAATATTGTATTGGTTGGTATTTACTTTGACTTAAAATTTTCATACAAACACACTCAGCAAAGTCAAACATCAAAAGAAAGATATGCTTACAAACACAAGGTAAATCTTTTTGATAAAATATCAATCACTGGTTCGTAAGACATAATTTTCAATTGTGGAAACAGGAACAAGACCTTCGTTACTTTTGGAGATGTGAACCAATGAACTGCAGAGCACTTTCAGCTGCTGATACATGCCTTTTGCCAGAATCGTCTGGAGCTGCAGATCTCGTTTGAAGATTTAACCCGCCTTTGGAAGGGTGTGCGATCTCTAGGCTCTTTGGAAACTTTTGATTTTGGTTGCCCTCTTTTGCTGCTAAAAGTCTTCAGTTTTAGAATCCCCCCCCTCCACTGCCAAATTTGTTCCTAGAGTGGCATTGGAAAGATATGTCAATGTCTCAGTATAACCCTAGATTATCAGCTTGATAGCTCTAAAACACATCCAACTAGCATAGTAGGCAAATGCAAGCAAGTTTTCAGTATCTGATCCTGATTATTTGCAAATGAGTAGCTCTCATAAAACAGAATGTGACTTAATTCATCAGTTTAATCCATCGAATGTGTTTTAGCCATCTGAAGCTGCGTCGAGTCCTAAAATTCAGGATCAGTTTCTAGTTCATTCATCTGTAAGAAGCTAAGGAAGGTGTTTCAATATCAATGTATTCTGAGTAGCTCTCAGAAAACAGAATGTGACTTAATCATGTGAAGCTGCGTTTGAGTCCTAAAATTCATCAGTTTCTAGTTCATTCATCTATAAGAAGCTAGGGAAGGTGTTCCTAACCATGTAGATGACAAAACTACCAGGTTACTGCTTGCAATTCTAGAGAGTACAGTTCTGTTTACAGCATGAAACAAGAGAGAGAATCCTTGATTCGTTAGAACTAATCATAAACCTCTATGACTTATATATAACCAAGATCCTATCACCCAGGCAGTATATCTTAACCGTTCAAGGTACAAAAGAGCAAAGGATCAAGAAACAATATGAAGACATACCAGGCTGTACAATAGTTTTTGCCTGTTAAAATTATGACCATTCTTTCAGTCCCAGAACCATAAGCCGCCGTTGTCGCCTTCAATCTACAATGGATAGATAAAATGTCAGAAGAAAGGTGATTGCAAGTATGCTCGATTCACCAGTAACTATGAAAGGAAGAAATTTAGAAAAGAATTGATACATTACACCATGCTTGTTCACAAGCCACTGCGTCAAGTGTGGCTCTTTGCTGAGAACTGGTCCATGGAGAAAGAGAAGATTGGAAACTAGGTTATAAGTTTAAACTAACTAAATTAAACTTTGTATTTGCACTTGGTGACCCAAGAACTAATACCAAGGATAGCAGAAAACTCACAGCGTGCTGTTGTGGTAAACTCTCACTTCGGATGGCTAAATTTGTTGCTGATGCAGCGGCAACAAAAGCATTCCTGGAGTAAAAAAATGCAAGAAAGTTCTCAGTATCTGATCCTGATTGTTTGCAAATGAGTAGCTCTCAGAACACAGAATGTGTGTTAGTCATCTGGGTCCTTAAATTCATCAGTTTCTAGTTTATTCATCTCCAAATCAAAGAAGCCCAAGTTTTTCCAAAGCAAATCAAATGAAATTCGAACACAAAAACCCAAAGAGGGAAAAGGCAAAACAAAATCAAATCATCAGAGGTAAAACAATAAACAGTGCCTGAATTCCCGCAGCTAAGTAAGCATCAGTAAGCAAAGCTCAAAATGTAATTTACCCGCCGAGAAAAAATCTCCTGGAGCAGAGAACTCTTCGATGTCATCATCCCGATCAATGGCGACGCCTCTATCAATCTTGCTCGATTGAGAACAGAGGGGATCTCGAAACTCCTCGTTCAAGCTCCTGATCGGAATCCCGATGATGCAGAATCTTGTGAGGATGATTGGTCGTTTAGGGATTTGGGGGGGAGAGAGGGGATTAGGATTTGGGGAAACATCGGAAATTGGCGCCTTGTTAATTTGTTACTTCTTACTACAGTAATATTATTACTTAACTCTACTATTTTATTCTATAGTTTCCACCAATCATCATAGAGCAAAAACACATTCATTGTTTTTTTCTTTCTTTTCTTACTAATAATACTATAGACAAATAAAGTGTTTTTCTATGATACATATGATTGTCACATCCCTAGAGGTATCAATCCAATGTTTTCTATATGATATTTATAGCCTCTTAGCAATATTCATATTCCTTGTTCCTCCCAACTTTGTACCCCACAAAACTATAGTATCACAAATTCACAACAAGTTTCTGAAAAAGAAAGGCAAATCACAAGTAGGAGGATATACATATATGTCGTTTTTATCTTTTACTTTTAAAAAGTTGTGCCAAATCAAGCCAAGTAGTACAAATCTTGGCTTGTTTTCAGAACAACCCCAACACTCTCCCTTCCTTTGTTTTTTACCCTTATTCTCTCTCTTTAACTCTTAACACTACTAGTCTACTACACCTATTAGTCTTTCCCCACACCACAAAAAAATAGGGTCTTGAATATTCTAATTAATATATTTCCTCTCTCTACTACTTTGTTCAGACACAATTACAAATCATATCCCTTACTTTTTTGATATACTTATATAAAGATTTTAATTTAACACTAAATTACATTTCCTCTATGTAATGTAATCTCCATATTGGACATTCATAATTAAAAATAAAAAATATATATATTATGTTGTTGAATCTTTAATAGATTGATTACATAATTTATACTACTTATAGCAGTATGAAATAGACACCAAATTTTTAACCATATATGGATTGACACGAAAACATCATGTATGAATGTTTAAGATAGTATAATTAAATTATTACTTTTTATGTGTTAGTCTTTAAGCTATGAACAGTATTTATTATCATCTTCCATTAGTTATTCAATTTTTTTGGGTTATATACTATACTCATTTTGTAGTCTTGTATTGGTGTAGCTTTTTATCATAACAACTAATGCGTCCATTATTGTATTTGCATGATCCTTACATTTAACTGATTTATGTGAGGGTATGATCTGATATGTTTTGTCTTAATTTAAAGATTTTTTTTTTCCGGGTGATTTTAACGTAAATATATTTTTGTCCCTAACGACTTAATTGTTTGTTTTTGAAATTAGGGACTCGAGCTTGTACGTTTTCAATTAAAAATAAAGTAACGTTGAAACAGAGTCACGTGCCTATGTCTACTCTGTAAGAAATGGTGAGAAATGCAATCCCAATGCAATGATGAGATTCCCTATTCGCGTCTTATTATTAGTATTTTCTTCCTTTTCTTTTAATTAATAACATTTATTAATTGGAGTACCTTGTTTACAAACTACAAACTACAACCAATTAAGTAGATATTTTTCATTGTAATTATTTGGAAATCAGTCATAAACAAATTTTTATTTGTAACATTTAAACAATTATTAACGACACACAGCAGCTGCATGTATGAAAATGGGAGATAATAATGTCAAATGGTGATTTGCCACTTGTGCACACCGTCTTGGTCTTTCCGGTAAAGGGCAACACACAAAGTCACTTTTCATTCTTTATACAATAAGAACAAATTAACTATATCCACACATGCGCCATGCATGCGAGGTTTACGTCCAAATTCGAATTTTTAGAATTTGGGTCTGTCTTAGTGTCGTTAGCAAATATAAAACAAACCAAAATGTAGCAATACTCGAAATTAAGGTAATTTTAATCCGGATGAAAAAAAAAAAGAAGAAGTAATTTTAATCCTTTTGTTATCACATCCGCATAAAAAAAAATCTCCTTTTCTCTCTCTCTCTCTCCCTCTCTTTTAAATTAAAAATCATGAACTTTACATCCACATCTAAAAGTAAAAAAAGAAATGTTGAATATGAAGAATTTTAAAAGCTGTTTTTGGCTTTATCCATTGTTTGAAAGTACTAGCAATATTCAGTGAGTCCATGTGTGGTGTGCCTTTAATTTGCTTAGTAACTCTAACTCTTGTGTTCTGCAGTAATATATATATAGCTTTTTCATATCCAATATTTATATATACATATACAATAAAAACATTAATATACTGAGGATTTTAATTAAACATTGAATTAAATCTTTTTATGTGATGTAATCTCCAGTTTGGACAATCATTAAAATAAAAATAAATGATATCCAGTATATGAGGTTGAATCTTTACTAATATAGTATCAAAATAATTACAAAATTTATATAACAGTTGCATCAAATAAACATTAAATTTCCAATCATTGCAATAAATAAGGATGGATTACAAACACATGTATTAACTAGTAATAAATTATTACTCCTTAGTCTTTAAGGTAAGAACAATATTTATTATGATCATGTATCAACGGTTCATTTTTTTTATGTGTGTTACTCTACTCATTTTTTTGTAGGACCTGATTGGTAACAGCTGTAGCTTTACATTTTTTGCTGTAGAAATATGACTGTAGGTTTATTAGTTGTGGCTGTAGTATTTTGGCTGTGGAATTTAAAATTTTGGAAAGTTGAAAATTATGTGATTTAGGAAAAAAGGCTTTATACAGCCAAAAAAATGAATTAAGGAAATATTTTGGCTGTGAAAAAAAAAAAAGGAAAGCCAAAACTTCTAAAGTTTGATTGGATGTATTTCAAATCTTTAGAAATTTTTTTGCTTTGTAAAGACTCGAAAGCACTTACCAATCAGACTCTTGTTATTATCGCTGTAGCTTTATCAGAACATTTAATGCTTTTGAAATAAAGAGACCACGCTGATTTTGCTGTGTTGCTTAAAGATTTGTTTTTTAAAAAATAAAAAAAGACAGAAGGGTTCCGCGAGAAAACATTCCCAAATGGGAAAAACACTTGGAAGTGGTCAGATGACAAATATACAAATCTCAGTCCCTTGTCAATGCAACAAGAACGGCGGAGACTTTGGTACTCTTTTCTTTCATTATCCTGATCAATTACCTTTATACCCTCTTCTTTTTTGAGCATCAAGCTAGACTTAATTTCATATATATATATATATATATATATTGTTTCCTGCATTCCATATAAACATATATGAGTATTAATTTCATAATCCTCATCCATTGTTAATATCAGACATGTGTGTCTGGTAAATCAGAGAAATATTGGTACATGTAGTAGTATCTCTAGAAGCCTGTATGTATATCCTACTAACACGAGCTTCATTGTTATATGGTGTTAAATTTGTTCTTTTATATATTGGTTTAGAGGTCTATGACTTTGATATTATAACATGATATGCCTAATGAATAAAACTCTTACATTTAACTTATAATGTAACAGTGGACCCAAATCAGGTCACCGGTTTGACTTCGTGTCCATGTCGGATCCAAAAACGTTGGCGTGGTATTCAAAATCACAAGATTACTATTTTTTGGGTATAATTTTCAATAATATCATTTTTGCTAATTTATGTATTCAAATCGCATACAAATTCACGATTACTCAAAGTTATGAATACGGATAATAATTTATTGGAAACCATAATAATTTAGACAAAAATATCAAGATGCTCACATAGGAATTTAACTTTCTCTTATGTATATATGTATGTATGCATTATTAACCATATATCTCCAAACCTTATAATCATGCGTGCACAAACCAATTAAGAAACCAAAATAATAAATCCACCGAGAGTGGAGTCACCAACACATGTGTCAACATATATACTAGATTTTAACCCGCGGTACACCGCGGGATGATTTAATTTTAAAGTTAGTATAAAAATATTTTGTAAATTGTATCTTCTTATAACATATTTATTTATATTATAGTTTACAATTGTTATTAAGTAACGGTATACCACGAGTCCACGAGATAATTATTAATAAACTAAGGATTTAACCCGTATTAAAGCGGTATATAAATATTGATTCAAATTCGTCCGCCATATAAATCATTTCCGAAATATAACCCGTTCCGTAATTTCTTAACCCGTCCTGTGATTTGTATTAAAAAAAATAAGGATTAAATCCGTATTGAAGCGGCGGATTAATGATATTTTAATCTTTTTATTATTGTTGATTCAAAAACCCGTCCCGCCAAACCCATCCCGCCAAAAAACTCATTTATTTTATTAATGTTCTTATTTATGATATGATTCTGAATCATTGTCTAAATATTTTAATCGATGTAGAACGTTGAACACACATTTTCGTCAATTGGATAATATATGTCCGTTTTTAAAATTTCGAATCACAGTATATGCAGAAAAAAAATTGTTTTTTTTTTTTTTACTTTATGTATTATATGATGATTCAAAACAGTTAAAAACAAATCAAACAAAAATGATAGGAGAATCATAATTATAAATCTTAATCAAATCTTCTAAAAATCTAAATTATTAAATATGGAATATCCGGTGTATGAGTTGGGTTAAATATAACCCGACCCAACAAATTTTTTGTGAAGGAATTTTTAAAATGGGTCGGATATCCGATATACCCGAAAGCTTTTTTACCCACCCGTCACAAAAAGTGCTGCAATTATACTAGTATACTAGGATATGACCCGCGGTACACCGCAGGTTAATTTTTTGTAACAAAATATTTTAAATCTTAAATTGTATTTGTTTTAGTAATATTATTTGTTTTGTTTAGTGTTTAAGATTGTATAATTATATTTTGATTGTTAATTTTAGGATTTCACCCGTGGTATACCGTCTCGTATTAATATCGACTCAAACCCGTCCTACCATATAACTCCGTCCCGTAAAATTAAATATTATTTTGTTATTTTTCTTATTTAATAGTACTTTTATTTAAAAGATAATTCGAGTCAATTACCGCGGGTTAATTTTTTTGTAACAAAATATTTTAAATTTTAAGTTGTATTTGTTTAAGTAATATTATTTGTTTTGACCCGTGTTTAAGATTGTATAATTGTATTTTGATTGTTAATTTTAGGATTTCACATGTGGTATACCGTCTCGTATTAGTATCGACCCAAACCCGTCCTACCATATAACTCCGTCCCATAAAATTAAATATTATTTTGTTATTTTTCTATTTAATAGTACTTTAATTTAAAAGATAATTCGAATCAATTTAAAAGTTTGCTTTCAAATGGTTCCTATAATATATAAATTCAATTTTCATAAAGTCCAAATAATATTAATATTATAAACTTTTTATTGAATCTAAATACCGCGGGGATCGCTAATTTTCTTAATTTTTTTTTTATTTACCGATGATTTTGTTGTATATATTTGATTTAGTATTTTTTGTTTATAAACTTATGATTGATTGTGTTTGGTTTGGAATATTATAAGTGTTTGTCCAATTCTTATTCAATTTTCCGATTATACGACGATAGATCGATTACAATCTCATAACACGGATCTCAATCTCAGAACACAGAAAAGGGAAGACATCGATTACAATCACGATAAACCCGAAGGTAAGAGAAATCTCTGTTTATCATGTAATTTTGATCGATTCTTGAACATCAAATTCAAAATTTGATTGTCTGTCATTGTTAATTTTGAATCAAAATTCTCTATGAACCCTAAAAAGACTTGTTTATAATTCTGACTCTATTTGCCAAAATTTCAGGTTCGAATGCATGATTTTGGTTGATTATATGTTATGTACTTAGTGAATCATTTTACAATGTTTTTGTGGATCCATTACTGGTAGAACATTATTGTGTTGATCATTTTTTTGATGATATGATTCTTTTTATTCTGGTCATGATGTGTACCCGAATTCTGATTTCCAATTTCTTAAAAACATTAAAGATTATAGGGCAAGGAAGCCGATTCTCCCTAGAAGATGAAAGGATTAAAAGTTTAACAAATCAAGAGTTGTAGATTTGCAATGTAATAAAGACTAAGTGATATACACAAACAAAAAGATAGGATATCAATTATCTATCAAACATATCTGATTATAATGTTCGTAATATAGGTGACTAACAGATCTTTTGTTTCATAGGTTACACAATCTTCAAATATGAAAGTCGAGTGACTTGAGCATGCAGGAGTCATCTATAAACATAAGATATTCTCAGAAAGGTTAGTGGAGATAGGAGAGACAATGACTTACTTACAAAGAAAAGTTTAACCAGTTTAGAGTACAATCAAGTAAGTGATTTTTGAAAAGTACAACACGACAGCCAACTAACAAATATAAAGAAAACTTACACTCATAGATGTAATCTCAAAGACGTGTTTTGTATGTTTAGATCTTAGAAATGAGAGTGTATTTATAGTGTCTTGATAAGTTGCTAGGGTTTTAGGTTAGAGAACATATAAAATCTTGGTGAGTAAGTATAGTATATCTTTGCAAATTTTAGAATCGGAAATATATAGAATATGCTATATAGATACTACAGAAAATAAGAATAAAATCTTTTAGTTACCACACATTTCCAATTCATTTCGTGGGATTTAATGTAGAAATAATATTGTCCATTTTATTTAGGAAATAAAAATGATTTGCAACAAAATCTTTACCATTTTAATAGGAAACAATGAGATTATCAAATCTTGGTTTGTTACCACGATATATATGATTGATCTCATATATTTCATAAATCTATGATTAAATGTCGTTTGGATTAAATGTAGGGATTTTCAAATAAGGAATGTTCCGATTCACAAAAATTCGGGTCAAAATAGCAAATAAGGAAGGATCCGAATCAAAGATTTCCGGGTCAAAATCCTTTAAAACCCGACCCGATTGGCTTTGAGCAAATTTGTACTTCAAAAATGTTAAGTAGATATATATATATATATATATATATATATATTTTTATGGGTTAAAAAACACTCTTGGATACTTGTAACTACATATAAAAGAAAATTTAATGAGGGGCATCTTAATAAATAAGCTAAATACTAGTTTGTTTTTGTAAATAGTAGTTGTTTCATTTATTTTGTAAAACAAAAAAGTGAGATGATACTTTCTCTTCAGTCTATATAACTTGTTTCCGGTAACATATCAGAAACATCTCTACAGTCTATGAAACATATCAGAAACATCTCTAAGAAAAAATGAGTGTGATAACCAAATTTTTAAAGACTTGCTCTCCTCTCAAAGTTGGTGTTTTTTTTTCTTGTTTTGTTTTGAATGTT